TGCAGAAAGAATCTAACTAGAATCCAAGAGCTTGGTCTAAAAAAGAATTTAAAGCTTAAAACTAGACCAAGACATAAATGCAAAACCTTAAAACAATGCAACCCTAATATAGAATGATTGGGTGTTTAATGCATGATGAAGGTTTGGCAGTTAGGGTTTCATAAATGGAGAAGATGCAAGCTGAAAGCCTTAAAGCAACCCTCTCTGTCTAACAAATAAATTCTAAAATCCCCATAGAACAATTTGCAACCTTAGAAGCAAATATACCAAAGGAAATCTGATTTTCCATTAGCCAACTTGTCTCAAGGACACTTGTCAACTGCAAAAGAATCTAGGCAGATCAATGGCCAGAAACTGACTACCATAAAAAAGGTGTCAATCAGCCCATGCAGGCTGCCTTAATTTGTGTGCCTAGACCACTGTTCTAAAAATCCCCGCCTAGTGTCGCCTAGGCGTTAGGCAGCTGGCCACCACCCCGATTAATGCCCAGACATTTGAAAATTAAGAAATGACGCCTAGACTTACTGAAGCAACTGCCTAGCCCGCCCAAACCCGCTTAGACACCTGTCTAGGTTGCGACTTACTTAGATAGAAAATACATAACTCTCCTTTTGCATTTTATTATTTCCAATAAATTGTAAGAGACTTATTAAACACTTAAATAACACACACATTATATGTTTACTCTGCATGTTTTCATTATGTTCCAATATTTCATAATATATATGTCATTCTATTTTCTAGTTTATAATGAAATTATATATATTTTAAGTATAAACAAACACTTATTTACACGAAATACAATAGATTTACTTAAATCCGCTTAGCCGTCTAGGCACTAAGCCCCAACCCGCTGCCCGACTAGCGCCTAGCGCCTTTTAGAACCTAGGCCAAGATAGCTAGAAGTCAGCGTGTAAAACTAACTAGACATAATGCAACACAAATAGAGATATGAGAGGCACATACGTGAACAAACCATTTGAGATGAAGGGCTGGTTTGGTATTACTGTGCTTTGAAAAAAAAATTGCTTCTGCTGTGTTGTGAGAATAAGCAGCTGTGAAATAAACTAGATGAGTGTTTGGTAAACTTTTTTGTAAAAGTGCTTTTGGAAAAAGAAAAAAAAACAGCAATATTATAGTATTTTGGTAAACTTTTATGTAAAATAGCTGTAACTGTGTGAAATGATCAAAAATGATATAATACTAGATGTGCCATTAATTTAATTTTCTTAACAAATAAAGGTGAATTACTAAATATACTTTATTTTTAAAAGAAAAATATTTATTAACTTTATCTTAAACATATAATCCAACATTTAACAAGAAATCATAATCCAACATTCAACATATAATCCAACATTTATGCTGCTTCACGTTTTCAGTTTTTTTTCATCCAAAACTGTGAAAATAAGTTGTTTTTAAGTGTTTACCAAGCACTTTTTTGAGTTCAGCTTTTTTTTATACCCACTTTTTATAAAAGCACCTCAATACCAAACCAGTACGAAATGTGCCACTTCTTGAACATTTCCTCCAGCAGAACCAGTCCATAATTTGAGTATATCCTAAAGCTAGATTGAGCATGTGTGATGGTTCAATTACAATATTTCACATGGAAAGACAAACACTTAAGACTAGACTTTACAACTAATGTAAATATTTTAAATTGATGATCAGGTATGTTCATTGTATTTTTCTATGGTCAATTAGTGTAGATGTAAAAAAATCATCATGTTGCGGGGCTAAAATAACTGTTAACTTGTTATTTTTCGTTTCTAACCGTAGAACGATTTCGTCCCATTACCTAATTCGAAAGTTTGTTTTTGGTGATTTTTTGCGTATGTGATCTCAGAGTACATACAAATGAGTTTGACAGTTGGATTACTAAAATTAATTTTGAAGATTGCGAAAATCATCGAAGGAATTGAATATACCAAAATGTCCCTCGCCTTTACTTGACGAAATAGTATATCTTGCCCTACAAATCATAAATCTTAAATATATATTTGCGACGAAACCTGAATGGTTCATGCCCAGAGGATGCCATGATAAGTGCCAAGTTTTTTTACTTGACACAAAAACTTTACCCGATGAATGACACTTTACCCGTTGAACTACTGTTGTCGGGAAAAAGCCTTTGAAGAAGAAGCCAAAATGTTGACAAGTTTTACCCGACGAACGTTTGTATTCCGGCTGGTAAAAATAATTTGTTTCGTTGGATAAATAGTAATTTCAGGTAATGTATGAATGTATGCATGCGTGGCAGATTGACAACCACTGCCTGCAAGGAGTCATTGACTCAGTAAGTTGGCCAATTCCTCATTTACCATCCTTTTCTTTTTCTTCTTAACAAGTTTGGTTAAATATATCCACATCTACATACCAAATTCATCTCATATGCTAGCAAGTATTTTCATATTGGATCGAGTTTCCTAGCTAGGGGTGTTCATTGGTTCGAAACAAATTGAATTGTTTATTTTCGAATCCAATTCGGCCTTGGCTAGTTGGAGCCCGAGACTCCTTAGGTCAAATTAGCCTTGGTTCTTGCCTATAACTCCTTACGAAGGCAGTTTAGGACAAAACTGGTAGCCAATGAAAATTAGACACCTAACACTTTTTAGTGTCTAACCGCTCTCACCATTAGAACAAAAAGAACTTTGGAAGGCTAAATTTAGTAAATTGTGTCAATTTGAGGGGCTAGATTTCGTCAATTTGAAAGGCTAAATTTATTTTAAGGAACCTCAAGTTCGATTCACTTGGTTGTTTTTTTTTTTTCCATTTAAAAAAAAAAAAGAAAAAGAGGGATAACTTGTGGCAAGCTATTGTTATCCACTCCTTCTGGGTCCAGAGAGGTTATGGGAAATTTCACTTACCTGTGGCCACAGTCAAGTAGATTCACACGGTTGTGAGTATGATATATATTTGTAGTAAATATAATACCAAGTTTGGATCATTCTGACCATGTACGAAAATGTTGTCTTAAAGCTTCATCGTTCAGAAGTTCTAAATTAGAGGTGTGCTATTCACACATCTCTTTTTACTTCTCACACACTCCTGATTAATTTTTGTCAATTAATCTTCTTCAATTCATTCGATCTGATGATTGAAAATTGAGAGGGATGCGCGGAAAATGAAATTTAGGAGGTGTGTAGATAGCACACCCCCTAAATTATTGTAGGTGGAAGTTGGGTTCACCCATACTATACTAAGCTAACTTCTGGATTATTTGAAATAAAATAGATTGAGGATTTGATTATTCTAAATTGAAATCATGTGTATGAACTTTACCTCATAAGGTATGTTAATTAGTTCTTGCTTTTTGAATCTGAACACTTTACTACCCGTTGCAAGATTTTGATAAACTTTCTCTGTTGTTAAACTACGTTAGAAATTTAAACCGACTGTTATTATTTCAAGTATAAGAAGTTAAGGGCTCCTTTCTAAAGTCATTTTAAATTACTGAAAATGTTTTTAAAGAATGTTTTTTAAATCAATCATTAGAAAATAAAGGGTAAGTTTTTTATGGAAGAGCAATATAATTGCAATAAGCACTTCAAGTGCTTTTAGAACCAAAAACATATTCTCTAAAAGTGTTTCATGTCATTCAAAAACACTTTCATGTAACATTGCCAACTACAAACTTTGTATACAAGCCCAATAACAACAACCCTACTCAGGTCATCCTTACAGGTCTAGGAAATGGCAATATGGCGGATTGGGTTCAAATGTGTCATTTCCATACCAAAATCCATTTATTTTCCCCAAACCCCAACTTGTAGAATCTCTAAATGGGTTTTCCCCATAACCGAACCCATCGAGTGGCAGATTTTTTATCAAGGAACAGTTTTCCCCATTGTGATATTTATATATTTATTTATATTATTAACTAAATGAAGAATATTAAAAAAATTATTATTAATACAATTGATACAATGCATCTAATAAGTAATACTAAAAATTTATATTACTAAGAAAACATTTACACTCTTGAAAATTATAAGCATATAATTCCTATTATTAATGATATAAAAGTAAATAATTAATTTCATATTTAATAATGCATGATTATTAACAACCCATTTTCATATAATAAATATTTATATTTTTTTTATTCATAGATGAAATGGTTCGGTTTCGGGTATGAGTTTGGGACAGATACCCCAATAACCATAACTGAACCCGAAACCAAAAAATTTACCCGACGATTACCCATAACCATAAAATACCAGAAATTTTATGCCCAAAACCGAACCATTCGGATCGGTTACTTGCGGGGATCGGATTTGACGGGTTAAATTGCCATCGCTATATGGGCCTCAAAATCAAAGTGTACATAATAGAAAAACAAACGAACTAAAAAAGTGCAAATATATTACGTAATTAACTGCAAATGAATAAATAAGAATGAGGATCCTCTTCGGATTCTCTTTGTGAGGATTCAAGGGATCCTTTAATCGTGTATGTTTATTGTAAATCGTGGGACCAGTTTTCATCAGGTACTATTCGTGTTCAATTTTAAATAAAAATTTTTAAATGATTTATGATCACACGGCGTATGATAAATGAACACGATTAAAAGATCACCAAGAATCCTCATTCAATAAATAATACATAATCTTCAAGAAGGTTACATCAATGAAAGAGACTACATCTTGATAGACTTACACCTAACTGAATTACAAACATCTTATTTACATATAACTAACCCTAATTTTAAGGGGCAAAGAATCCAAATTCTGTTCTTAATAAAAATAAAAATAAATGTGAAATCAAATGCATGTGGCGAACTTCCTACCAGAAAAATGTATGTGCCAAAATCAGCATGCTATGCCATGGCCCTTAACATCTTTTATGATCGCCATTGTTACATGATATGGATTAACTCGAGATTGAGCAACTCAATTTTTCGTAAAATTAACACGTGAAGTATCAAATATCGCCTAACATTATGGATGCAACGGTTCACATATCCAAAATATAGTACGGAAAAACGAACTCATAAGTTGAAGTGTAAGAAAAGTGACATAACGCATAAATTTGCACTAAAGAATTTTCCTTGAGGTCACATTGATCACCAAAAGCCATATGATCATTTCAATTAGATATACAACAAAAGTGTATCCTACTTTCTCAATTGGGCCTCCTCCACATTACCCGGCCCACTTGAATTTTGGGCCTCCACAAACTCCTTGATCAAATCAGGATCAACATTCTCCTCCGGCTCCCACGTGGCCTCATCTATATCCGTCCACTTCACCAAGTACTCCAGCTTCCCTTCATCCCCAACTCTCTTTCCCACCACCCCTTCCGCCACCGCGTACTCGAGCCCCGCCTCGTAGTCCGCCACCAGATCCTCGCCGATCAGCTTTGCGTTGACCCACTCGTTATCTCCGCCGTCCTTCCATTGGACCAAATACTCCGTGCGATCCCCTTTCCCGCGCTTCTCAAGCAACTCCTGCACCTCCGCGTACTCGAATATTACCCTCTCTAGCTCCCTAATCACGGCCTCCAACCCCAACCGCCTCGCGAAGTGCATCGGGTTCCCCTGCGGCGTCGTTTTGAGTATCTCCCGCGCCAAATCCAACGGCTTCCGCCCCCTCTCGTCCTCCACTTCGGGATCCGCACCCAGCTCCACCAATAATTTGACGACACCAGGACGGACATAACCAGCAGCCATATGTAACGCTGTTAGTCCCCCGCCGTTATCGCGGTGGTTCAAATCGGCTCCGGCCTCGGCCAGAACCCGAACGCACTGCTCCGACCCGAGACCCGAGACGAATATGAGAGCAGTGCGGCCGTCCCCATCAACTGCGTCAACGTCGCGCGAGTCGTTCTCGGCGCTTATGAGCTGACTCAGTGCGGATTCGTCAGCATTTTTGGCGGCGGTCCACCACGGGTTCTCGTACTCCGCCACCACGTCCTTGGCAATGGAACCCGACGGGACCCACGATGGCGAATGGCCGTCTTTCCAGGAAATTAAGTACTGCATCCCCTTGCCGCCCACCAGCGCTCTACTTCCGATGATTTTGTCTACCTCTCCGTAGGACTCGTCGTTTTCTTCCGGTTCATTGGCATCCGGGAGCGGAAGTGGGTTATGGGTTTCGATGGATTGGGTTTGTTGTTGGTTTTGGATGGCGGAGACGGTTATGAGGGTGGTAGGCTTGGTGGCGGTGTAGGTGGTGGGTTTAAGGCGGTGGAAGGATTGGGGAGGGAAGGAGGAGGTGGGGGTGGTGAGGTTTGGGGAGAGTCTGAGGCCGGAGATGGAGTACTGGTTGACGAAGAGAGCGTCCATGGAGTTTTGGTGGTGGTGGTTAGAGAAGTGACTGAGGTTTCATTGGCGGTGTTCCGAAGAGTGTTCGGGAGAGTGGATAGTGTAGGGGAGAGGAGTAGAGAGGGAGAGAAGTATTCGTTAAGGATAAGAAATCCCATCCAATCCATTTTACTTGTTTTGGAGTCAGAGTGGGACATTGGTGGTATTTTCAAGTTTTTGGTTTCGGAGGTTTCAAATTCGGCACCACAATCCCGAGGTTCAAAACTAAACCCAAAATGTTAAACTGGGCTTATAACAGATAAGCCCATTATTTTTCAATCATTGATAAGCCCATTTTATGCTTGCATTTTTGACCCACTTTACTGTTTTACCTTTTTTTTTTTTTTTTTTTTGGAAAAAAGGTAATTATATTACCACAAGAAACAGACAAACTTACAACCAGAACAAACTAGGGTCCAAACACAAAAGTACATATACAAACAAAAAGGACCAGCTCAGCAAACAAAACCTAAGCCCAACCCACAACGTGGGCCCAAAACAGAAACACCACAAGAACGCCGGAAGAACCAAGAATTCGACAGCCGCCGCCTCTGCAACAGTATTTCGAGATTCACCCAATTCCATGCCTCCAACCGCACGCCAACCCGACGATCAGAGCATCCAACCCCGAGCACCACCTGGTACGCAGCCACCACAATAGAAATCAGGCAACCAGAAGAGGAATTCTGGCTACCAGAAGAAAGAAGCCCGTGGAGATCCACAAGCAACACTGCCAACAGAGGCAGACATCGAGAAGGTGGTGGTGTTGGGAACACCCGAGCCTGTGCATGCACCGAAGCTCTACACACCATCTCAGAGAAGCGTGACTACAGATTGGAGTGTGAATGGCCGAGAAGGAGGGACGCCAGTAGGAGAAGACGAAAAGGGCAAAACGAAATAGAAAGCAGGGGGAAAACTCTGCCGAAGAAAGGAAGAGGGGACCAAAAAAGGAAGGACAGATGGGCTAACCAACCCCAGCAGAAGCTAGGGTCAGCGCCCCCTGATCTGCACTGAAATAAGGCCCTCAGACAAACACTGAGAAAAACTCTCAAGCAGAGAGAAGGGCTCTCACAAAGGAGAGTATTTCGTGTTTTACCTTTAGAGAAGTGAAACGTGCAAAGAATGCTAGTTGACTTTTTAAATTTTCTTTTGACTTGTAAATCGCAAACTAAGAAGTTGACACGTATCAAAAAATAACTCATTAAATTATTAAAAAAAAAACATTTGCAAGTGTCAAATTGATATTTATCAAAAAAGAGTGAATGACTTACTACACGTAGTGAGCATGGTATTTTTCATCTTCTATGATGAAATTTGGCAAGGGCTTTGTGTGTACTTGTGACTACTAATTGGAGAAGATATTCTCCTTATATCATGGCGAGAGTTGGAAAACTAGTCAAAACAAGATTAGATTTCATCTTCAACGATGTTTTATTCCTTTCAAATATTATACTACCAATAAAATTGTAATGTAATAATTTGGCAAGGGCCTTGTGTGTACTTCTTAGTTTACCACCATTAAGATATGTTGAATTGTTTTGCAAGCGACGGAATTTCAATTACGTAGAGAAATATTGTTTCCCTTTTCTTTTCGCACAAGCAGTATTAATATGAGTAAGTTACAATTACTATTTTTTTAATAGAGATAGAACCATCCAATATATGGATGTCTCATCTCTATAAGAAAGATAATACAATTATATTATAAAAAGTATACAAAAAATACAGGATTAGTTTCCGTACAAACACCCTACGCCCTAACCACGTAAAGCAAGTAGTAGTCAATACAATCGTGTCAAAATCGTGATTTATGGTTGCGTAAAATAAAAGCCATAGAAAAATGAATATCATCATGAGTCCATGACTGGCTGTATAACAACCGATGATCACAGGCGAGATTTCTAGATGGAACAAAATGTTTCTTGTCAATTATTATATAATCTCCACCGTCTCCATGTATTAATTTTACAAGGCCATCACACTTCATGCTTTCACAATTAGATGGACGTAGACTTTGCCATAATTCGATACACCTGCCAGTTCATCACCAAACATTATACTACTTTCCAGTCAACTCACTCCATTCACATTTAAATTGTTAGAAGTATTGGATTAATGGCTAAGAGACTGCCACTTGTCAATAGATTACATAGGTAGTTACAAAGATAGCTTATCTTGTAAGCTATTATAGTTGTTAAGATTTACACTTGTACAAAAGACTAGGTTTGTAAGAAAGAAATTAGTTAGAGTGAATGAAATATTTTTTTCTTCCTCTCTAAGAAATCTCAAGAATTCTCTCTCTGTGATCATCTTTCTCTATGAGTTTATAGATTGATGTAGGTTGGTTTACAAGGTATCATCGCCAGAGAAAGCTTAACAGCTTGACAATGATCGATCTTGGTGATTTGCTTCTGCTCTCTTGCTAATCTCTTCTATCAGTATATTTTCTTGATCTTTTGTTGCCCAATTCTGCTTTTAGGGTTTCGTCTTCTTCTCAATTCTATGATTCTACGTGTGCAATTCTCTGCACACAAGGTGTTTGATTGCAGTACTCAAACATATTTTCTCTCAGTTCTTGATTTGCAACTGCTACAATGGTGACAGCATTACAATTACAGATCTTACAATCCCCAATTACATCCCTGAATTCATCAGTCTCAATCTCTATTACTTTGAAGCTTGATGACTCCAATTATTTGCCATGGCATTTTCAGATGCAATTGTTGCTTAAGGGGCACGGTATTGCTGGTTTTGTGGGTGTGTCAACACCTTGTCCTACTCAGTTTCTTGTGACTCAATTTGGGGATTCAGAGGTTGATTATGGCAATTCTTCAACTCATACAGCTTCTGATGAATATACGACTTGGAAGATGCATGACAAGGCATTAATGCAGCTGATTACTATGACATTGTAACCTGCAACATTGTCATGTGCAATTGGAAGTACTAGTTCCCAAGATTTATGGACTAGGTTAAAGGAGCAATTTTCAACAGTTACTCACACAAGTATTTTCCAAATAAAGCTTGAACTACAGACCATCAAGAAGGGTAATGATTTTATCATTGTTTACTTACAAAAAATCGAATAAGGTAGGGATTACTTGTCTGTTGCAAGGGTAATGTTTGAGGATGATGATATTGTGATACTCACTTTGAATGGTCTACCTATTGAGTATAATACAATTAGGTATGTTATTAGAAGTCGTGAAATTGTAATTTCTTTAAAGGATCTGTGATCTCAATTACTTGCTAAGGAAGTCATGCTTGAACACTAGGGGTGGGTTCGGTTTCATTTGGTTCGATTTTTGGCCGAAACCGAAAACCAAACCGAAGTTACTGTTCGGTTCGATTTTTCTTTGGTTTTTTTTCGGTTCGGTTTTTTCCATGAAAATTGATAACAAACTATCATGAAACTAGGATCATGATGATCTTTATCTATCGAATTCAAACTCTACAAAGGAAGCCAGACCCTCACTGATGCCTAACTACGGACAATAATAGTAATGGCCCATCCACTATATTAAACATAACCTGATTTTGTAACCTGTTGCCTTACTACTATGATTTCGTGGTAGAGTCTAATGAGTTTGAACTCATTAGCATCAGCATAGGTCCTAACGTAGAAACTAAAACTAACAATTCCTTTCTAAAGGGACTGGAAATCTTGGAAACTAAAACTAAATGGGCTTACTGATAGGAGCATATTCATGCGACTTAAATGGCTTGTTCTCGTGCATTTACGTTATGTTTCTTTAGTTATTTTAGTACTTTAAGCTATTTTCGTGTGTTTGTAGGTCCAAAGGGCTAAAGGAGCAAAAAGATGCATTTTGGAGACTTTTGGAGCACTTTTGGGCTAAGGATGGATAGCTTATGCTTGGAGCCAAAGTGTTGGACGAAATTGAAGACCTAATTGAAGACCAAAGTGTTGGAACCTTGTTCCCTTTAGTTTTAGGACATTTAAACCTTTCCTATATCCTTAGCCGTGCATAACATTCCAACATTCCACTCCTTCATTTCAGCCACACTCCCACATATTATTACTTATCATAACCATTCACTTATCACTTATCAAACCATTCACTTATCACTTATCATCAACATTCACTTATCACTTATCATAACCATAACCATACCTTCCTCCTTGCAATTCCACATGCATTCATCACCAACACAATCATCAACAAACCCATCACTCCCATTCTTTAATCCAATTCAGCCATTTAACCATTCACCTTGCATTTCCAGATTATTCCTTTCTCCACTCACCACAAACAAGTCACATGCATTCATCAACATATCTAGCTGTCATTCACATGCATTTCATTCATCATTTCCACCCCCACATGTCCCTTTAATCATTCAAACATGCACTCCCTTTAATCACATGCATTTCCACCCACATGCTCTCCCATTTCAGATTATATTCCCATTCACACACCAACAACACAAAACAGCCCATCCTTGCCGTGCATTACTCATTGCATTTCCAGCCATTGCACATGCATTTCCAACCCACATGCATCCTTTAATCATTCAAACATGCAGCCACATTCCCTCCTAGCTGTCATGTTCCCCCCATTTCGCCTATAAATAAGCATCCATTACACCTAAATTCACATTCATTCTTCCATACACATTTCAGTCACAAACACCAACCATTCCCTTGTGCCTTGCTCTCTTACTAATAATCCAAACACCACACCAGAAATCATCCCATTGCCGTGGCCTCCTCCTTCCATTTTCACCACTCCCCAAACCATTCACACCATCAAACTATCCTTAGACCTTGTGCTACAACGAAGAGGAAGATAAGAGGGCCTAAACGTTCATACAATTCAAGTTTGAGTTGTTGGAATGTTTAGGTGTTTCTTTGATTTCAATGTTTAATTTCAATACTCTTTGTTTTGTACGAATGAGGAATGGAAGAGAAGAGGGCCTAAACGTTCATACAATTCAAGTTTGAGTTGTTGGAATGTTTAGGTGTTTCTTTGATTCTCTTTGTTTTGTATCATGAGGAACTAAACCCCCCCTTGGCTAGGGGGGATTCGA